GTAGGGAAGCTGGATGAAAGCAAAGATCCAGGGAAAACCCACTTGACCTCGAGACCCCTTCCACTCCCTGGGGAGGGTGGCCGACTTACTTCAGGGTAAGCTTGCTGTTGCAGGTGGAGCAGGAGAAGCAGCTCACACACCAGGCCTTGTTGAGCGCCGACACCACTGTGAGGGCAGGCGGGGGCTTAGCGGGCCCTGTCCAGGAGGCCGCGGGCCCAGCTGTGCAGAGCGAGGCCAGCTGGGCTCGCAGCTGCAGGATCAAGAGCAAGGAGTGGGATGGGGGTGGGGAGCGTGGGTGGTGCTGGGGACAGAGGGACCTCACCATCACCCTCGATCACGTGGCTGCAGTTGTAGCAGACATCTCCAAAGAGCTGTGGACCCAGCAGAACAGGCTGTCGGTGAGGGCTGCAGGAAGCTTCGCTCTAGCCCAGCATAGCCCACAGTGCTCAGGTGCCCCCTGGACTTTCCTGCCAGGGCACAGCCTCAGCTCTGAGGTGAGGGCACCCTGGCCCACTACGATGGTCCCTGGGAAGGACTCAGGCTGAGGCATTGCTCCCCACAAGGCCCCCTTGCTCCTGCTGGTGTCCCGTGAGTTGTGGGCCAGGGCCCTGATGGTCCCATCAGCTCCCTCTCGTCACCCCTCCGGGTGCTGGCAACGTCATCACGGACCAGCACCTTGCACCGTCACAACAGGCCTGGGCACCGAGGCCATGAAAGCTGCCAGGTCTTGGGATGCCAAGCCAGGAGTCCAGGCCTAAGCATGCAGGCTGGTCCCGCCCGCCAGCCCAGGCCCCACAGGCTCCATGCAGGCCGCACCTGGTTGTAGTGGGTCTCACAGTAGGCCAGGCCCTTCTTCTCGTAGTGCCGGTGCCCCAGGAATGGCTTCTCACACTTGGCGCAAACAAAGTGCTGGGAGGAGAGAGGGCAGGCCAGGTGGCCTCAGGGCTGGAGCAGAGACCCCAAGAGACAGCAGTGCCCCAGAGGACTGGAAGCAGAGGCCAGGCAGAGTGGACACCCCACACCTTCTCTTTTTTTTTTTTTTTTGGTGGGGGGAGAGGTTTTTGCTATGGTTTTTGCTTTCTGTCTCTCTGTCTCTCTGTACACTCACTGAAAAGACAAAGAGACAGAAAGCAAGAAATCACCCCCCAGGGTTCATGGCCACGCTGCAATCCTTTCTCCTCCATTCTCCTCGTGGGATCTTGGGCACACATGCACACACAGGCCTGGTGTGAGTTTAAGCCACCAGGTCTGGGACTTGAACCATAGTTGACTGCGTGGGAGTCCAGTGATGTAACCATTATGCCATCTACCTTCTCTGATGGACCTTCAGTGCCCCCACAAGCCGAGGATTCTGGTGCTGGCAGGGAGCCATGGCATGGTGGGCCTTCCCTACCCATGGAACTGCCCAGCCTATTGGGGCCTCCCTGGCACCCTCCAAGCCAGAGTCAGAGAAGCATCTTCCATTGGGTGAGGATTCAGCGTATGAGGATACACACCACCACACACA